GGGAGACTCCAACTCAAAAAAAAAAGAAGCTTGTTCAAGGGCAGATAGCAAATACAGAGCTGGGTTTGAGCCCTTTCTTTTGGGAGAGGGGAGGAGGGTCTGGCTCAGGGCCATACTTTAAAAAAAAAAATCTATGAGGCTGGATGGTGCATAGCATTAGACATAGAGTGGTTAAAAGCCTGAATCTGGACCACGTCCAGACTTTTAGCTCTGCCACTTGCCAGATGTGTGAGCTGGGCAAGGAAGCAGAACAACTTTACACCCAACAAAGAGAGAATCAGATGACGGGAAGGGCTATGGAAAGATGTGTTTTCTGGAATGAAGCATTTGGAACCAGGGAGGACTTACCTGAGTATGACTAACATTGGGAAAAGGAGTATATTTTAAAGTTGTACAAAATCTGGGGCAGCTTTTGCCACAGCCAGGGAGGATGCATGCTTATTCCCAATAAATGGCTCTCTTCCTCCCTACACCAGTGTGGATGTCTGGGCTGCCAGCAACACAGAAGCCAACTGGAATTGGCTTGACCACATGCATTAGCTCAGGGAAGGTGATGTCCAGGACCTTGTGGGTCTAGGATTAGTCCAGCAGTTTGGTAATGTCCTCAAGGATCCAGGATCTTTTGGTTTCTCTACCATGCAGGTTCTATCTTAAGGCCAGTTCCCACCACAGTCATGGGGAAAGTTAATGGTGATTTTTACGGGTTCCGTGTAAGCTGGGAGAGTGAGCTGGCTTCCTAGGGCTCCCTCTTACAGCAGAGAAAGTCTGCCTCCCCACTACCCCCAGCAAGCCTCTCTCTAGGTCTCACAGGCACTAATTGGTTTTGGCCTGTGAGGGGTTAGCGTCCTTGGGTAGAAACACCAGCTGGTTTAAGCAGAAAGGGGAATGCAACAGAGGATGTTAATTATCCCACAGAAGCATCAGGAAGGCTGGAGAAAAGAACTTGAGGTTAACCTTCTAGGAAAAATGCCCCAAATCACACTGCAGGCCTGGCCTGATGAATGAACCACCACACTGCTTCTGCCACCCCACAGTGCCGAGTGCCAGGTTGCCCTCCCGGCAACTGCCGCTGCTGTCAGCTTGGATCTTGTTTCTCTATTCGGAGCTCAACCCCTGCAACGCCATCCTCAAAGCTGGTTGCTTGTGCCACTGTCCCATCAACAGAACTCAGGCTCATGTCTGGATTTAGTCTAATGTGGTGCCTCTGGCAAGCAGAACCAATATCATATCTTGTCTTTTAGTGGAAAGTGAAGCAGATTTGCATCTTGCTGTCTTCTCTTTGGTGCCGGGACTCATAATGTGAGATTTCTTCAAATACCAGTAGGCTACAGATATGGTAGCTATCCATTACAGCCTGCCCATCACTGACCAAGTACTGGTGGGGTAGTAACAGGATTGAGTTCGAACTGATCAACAGGAAGGATGAATAATATCTGGGAACCAACAGCTTTAGCTGCAACCCCTTCTGCCTTTGGTTTGGTTCCTTTCTCTCTACTGTCTCTATGTGCTCAGGGTGCTTATGTGTCTTAAGATGCCTCTTAAAGCCAGGCATGGTAGTGTATGCCTGTAGTTCCTGCTACTCAGAAGGCTGAGACAGGAGAATTGCTTGAGCTCTGGAGTTCAAGCCTGTAGTGTGGTATGATCTCGCCTGTGAATAGCCACTGTACTCTGGCTGGGCCAACATAGCAAGACTCTATCACAAAATTGAAAAAAAAAAAAAAAGCAGCAGCAGCTTCTGCAGACTCTGGTCTCCCTTGCACTCCCAGTCACTTACCATCACTTACCTACTCCTTGTTGATCTCTAGAATGCTTCCTGTTTCTAGAATGCTCTCCCCTCTCCTATTTATCTAGTTCTCTCTGATACATCCATCAGAACTCAGTTCAAGCAATTTCTTTCCTACCCTTCCATCCACCCCCCCCCCCCTTTTGGTCATTTGCTCTTCTTTTTCATTCTACTTATTACATTATATTTCAACACTTATTGGTTCAGTTATGTGAACCAATGTTGGTTCAGTTACACCTCTCTCTTCCTCTAGGCCATAAATGCTATGAGAACATGGACTTCTGTCTTGCTCACAGCTACTAATACAGTAGCTGGCAGTTAAGTGCTTCATATGTTTTTATTGATGGATGTGCATACAACAAACCCTATTATAAGACTTCACAAAGTCCCTCTTGGATTAAAAGACGTTTTAATAGTGCTTTTTTGGAAACAATCCCTTAAACTCTTAGGATTGTGCATATTAGAACATATTAGATTCACTCCAAGGTTTTTGTTTTGTTTTGTTCTTGTCAAACAATAATGTACCCATGGAGCCACCGTCATTGATGGAAACAAGTGGCACCCCTTGTGTCAGGGTAGAGATTTGAATTTGGGACACCAAGGCCTAAAGGTAGTGGCAGCTTTAGTTCCTACAAAAATTTTTCCTCAATCATGATGCCAAAATTATTTTAAGAAGATTCAGCTTAGTTAATTCTTTCTTACTTTTGTTTTTGCCTATGAAGTAGAGAAAGCCTGGGTGAGCTGGTGTCCCTTCATGATTATGGGAAGTGGTGGAGTAATTCTGTCCATTTAAAAAGCTTGTATTGTTTTCAGTGTGCCAGAAACTAATTTTATTTCCATGTCTGAGCATATCCTCCCACTTGATCTGGAGTTTATATTGGGAGAAGAGGAAAGAATAAAATATCACAGAGAACTCACCCATGGTAATAATAGCTATAACTGACTGAGTGCTTATTCAGTGTAAAGCACATTTCTATATGTGAGTCCTCCCAAAAACCTATTTCTCTCCTTATTCCAGTACTTGCTGACATTGATGTGACTGTCAGGTAGGCTAGGTAAGACCGTGCTAGAACCTTCACGGTTCCTGATTTTACAACAGTTTGTGGGTCCAGATGAACTAGTTCATGCTAGCATGCAGAAAAGGACCTTCCTGCAAGGCAGTGACAGGCTTTGGATTCAGACCCAGGCTCAAATCCTGGCTCACAATGGAAACAGAATGGAAACAGGCTAGTTTTTTCATCTTCAGGATTTGCAGAATATTGGCATCAATTTTGATATACCCTCAATAAATGTTAGTCCTTCTTTAGAAACAACTAAGATTTTCTCTTGGGAAGAAGTCATACACATTTCTCTTGTGCTCCCTAACATCACATACAGCTTGAGCAATGTGGGCTCAGCCATTCGATTGTACTCTCCACCAGCAAAATGCCACCTGTCTAAAGAGGAGACAGAACCGAATATGAATAGTCACATAGCCAGGCACTCACGCCTGTAATCCCAGCACTTTGGGAAGCTAATTGCTTGAGCACAGGAGTTCGAGACCAGCCCGGGCAACATAACGATACCTCGTCTCTATAAAAAAAAAAAAAATGAAATAAAATTAAAAAATAAATCGGGCGTGGTGGCACACGCCTGTAGTCCCAGCTCCTCGGGATGCTGAGATAGAAGGATCGCCTGAGCCCAGGAAGTCGAGGCTGCCATGAGCCGTGATTGTCGTGATCGTGCCACTGCACTCAGATCTCATTCAGCCTGGGCAACAGAATGAGACCCTGACTCAAAAAAACCCAAAAATGTTACATAGTTTTCAGGGCCCCACACACGGTCTGGCACAGGGAGACCATGGGCAGTCTGTGTTGACTCCAGAGGGACTGTAGTAAATGACCTCCTGAGAGCACCTCCTTTTACCTTGGTGACGGGGAGGGGTGGGGGGCAGTGAAGACTGGGGCTGAGACGCAGCGTCCTCAGCGGAGAGAGGGAGGGACAGGGTCTGGGGGCAGTCGTGGAGGTGGAGAAGTGGGGCTCCGGCTTGGGCGTCAGACAGCCCCACATAGCAATGCGGGCTCAGCCAATTTCCAGGAGCGGTTACCTAACTTTGCCAGACCTCCATCTTTTCCTCTCTGGAATGGGGAGGATGGTAATATGCACTTTGGGGAACAGCTGGGAGCACAAGAGGGGGTTGTTAAAGTCCTAGGCCCGCGGTTAGCACTCAGAGACCGGCCGCTCTGACCATCTTAGTCTCAGCGGTTCCAGCCTTAGCACGGGATCCCAGGGCCAGACCCGGGGACGCGCATGCGCACGCTCACCCGCCGGCCAGGTGAGCAGGAGGTGGCCGTCTCGCACCTGGCTTTTAACCCTTCAACGTCGTGGGGGGTGGGTGGAACGGACGCGGAGAC